AAAAAATTATTTTAAATTAATTCAATAATTTAGAGTAAATTGGTTGTAAATGGTAAGTTTTGGAAGATCTATTAGCCCAACTGCTGATTATTCAGTTAGAATGACTAGTTCTTTAATTGACACTCATTATTGATTAAATCACTAATTTAAAGTTCTATTTGACAAATCATTTAGGATATCTGCATTTTTCGGCTTTGGCTTGTTAAAGAGTATCAGAATTTTCAAGTTGCATTTATTTTTGCATTTATTTTTTCATAAATATAACAACTTTATAGTTAACAATAAACTGTACCGACCATATCAGGGCACATAAATACAGGTAGCAGTTCTTTTCAGCTTTCCACACTTATACTAGAATTCTTATCGTTTCAAGTTTTACCCTATTCTTGGAATAAGTAAGTGCATTATGTATCGTAGGTATATAAATGTGAGATTGTGCAGGAGTATGCGATAGTATCTAAAATACCAAGAATACCAAAAAATTACTGATCTGATTTTTGAAATAAATAGTAAATGTTTCCAAATGCTATCAGAACTTTCAGAGGCTTCTTTTTCAAATGAAGCCAACACCTGTCTAGTTAGTAAAGTCACTATCAGTTTTACATTGCTACACATTCTGAATTGCATCTAGAAGGATGAAAAAATGTAATAGGGGATAGCACGGAAGTTTCGTACACTTGAAAAAAGAGGAAATTAAAGAAAAAAAAGAAAGAAGGCAGCTAGAGGTAAAAAGTAAAAAAATGATAAGTAAAAGTCCGAAAAGCCAAATTTAATATAATACAACTAAAACAAGATAAAGCTAAGGGCGTACAAATAAATTTTAATAGTTATGACAAGAAGAGCCAATTCACAGTAAACAAAAAAATTAATGTGATACTCTTCTGCAAAAGAAATTTAATGGTAAGTATGCGAAATCAACTGAACGTGTAATATTAATCCGAACAAAAAATCTTCTTTCTTATTTTTAATTTTTTAGATTTGTACAACAAAAAATTTCCAGTATATTTACTCTAATAGACTAGGCTTAAAATTGGTGGTGCATGATTTAAAAGGAATCATCCATATTTTATCAAAATAATTCAAAATTCAATCGTTATCTATTTATTTTAAGTAAAAGTATTTAGAACTTTCTAAAGAATCTTTTCATCTGCACCGAACGTTGATTACACTGACGATAGATCTTTCAGAAATTCCCTAGACTTATAATAAATACATACATATCTTATTCAATGAATCTAACGTCTTGATAGCGGCCTCAGGTTAAAAAGAGAGAGAGACTGATTCGGAATAATCTGCGTTCTCTTTCTAACCGTCTGGAGGTATATAAAGGTATAAATACTCTATTCTCTTCTCTTTCTCAAAGTTAGAGAGAGAGCACAGCAACTCTCAAAGGAGACTTTTCTCTTACTACTTTTCAGCTATCAGCCAAGGCTCATGTTCAGTTTATACATACAATATTCATAAACAATCTACATAGACTGTTTTCTTAAGTACAAGAAAGTTCTCTTATACGATTAAAGTTTGAAGGATTCTACTTCAGCCTAGAATGATCTAAAACAATTAAGAGAATTCTGTGATACAACTGCAGTCTTCGCTGTACACGTCCGAATACGTCAGATCACAAGATATAAATCAATGTTAATAAATAAAGGAATTGTTAAAAAATGTTGTGAAAGGTCGGTTTGAGCTTTGGTATATACAAATCAGGGCCATAGATGTAGAATTAATAGAGTTAAGATTTTATGTTGATGTTGATAAAGCCAGTGTTAATAGGAAGCTAGACCTTGCAGGTTTTAACTTAAGGTTGTATAGGACACCCCTTTTACGTTAGAGTGCACGTTTCAAACAAAATTTTTTATCCAGTCTTCTAAATACTTGATGATAACATTACTAATAAATTATAAGCATATAGTGTGGCTAAATCAAGGAAAAATTTTGTTTCAACAAATCGCTCAGTTATTTATAGAAATATAGCCATTAAAAAAAATCTAATTAACGTTTGTTAACTTATATTATTGATCTCCGATTTCGATCCAAAACCTCTCATTCTCTTGAGAAATTTGTTATCTACAATCGTAACTTTTTTGATTATGAAATATTGATCATTTATGTCAAAAAGTTACTTTGTAGAAAAATTATCATAAACAATTATTTTTTTATCGTAAATAATCAATATTTCATAATCAAAAAAGTAACGATTGTAGATAACGAATTTCTCAAGAGAATGAGAGGTTTTGGATCGAAATCGGAAATCAATTATATAAGTTAACAAGCGTTAATTAGATTTTTTTTTAATGGCTATATTTCTATAAATAACTGAGCAATTTGTTCAAACAAAATTTTTTCTTGATATAGCCACACTATATGTTTATAATTTATAAGTAATATCATCGTTAAGTATTTAAAAGACTTGATAAAAAATTGTGTTTGAAACGTGCATTCTAGCGTTAAAGGGGTGTCCTATACAACCTTAACATGTAAAATTTTTTAAAGTTACATTTTCTTTTCGAAAAAAAGGAACTTTTTTATTGAAAAGAAATAAAACAGGCACTCAACGAATGGAAATAACGTAACCAGTGCAGGTTTTTTATTAGCTTAATCATGGTTTCATCTCAAACCATCAGTATATTTTTTACATACACAAATAAATGATTAGGAGTGTGGCCTACAAATTCGTTTCAAGATTTACTGTCATTGTCTCAAATTTCTTAACAAAACTTATTTTTACTAAGATATTTAATGTACTTTAGTACACATACATATTCCGAAACTCCATTATTTTCTTATTATTGATACATTTCCATTACAAGGTATCAATTTTTAGACAGCAAAAAATCAATTCCAGTACTGGGTTATCAAAACGAGTACAGTTTTACAATTGTATACATCTAAGATAAATAATGACCTGAACTAGAAATCTATTGCTTAACCACTTATCTATACTTGTATTCAAGAAAGTATCAGATTGATTTTTAAACTTCAATATTTTTTAAATAAAAATTTGAAAAATGTACCAACCTATGTTTTATCAGTGTACACAAAACTACTAAAGCCAGCTAACAAGGCATACAATTTTGCTCTCTAGAACAATCTATTTCTACAGTGGCAGTTTACAAAAACATTAAACTTATTTATATATTAACTACTATTTTGAATGCGTACAAAAGAGATTTTGTTCCAAGCATTTTTAAAACATAAATCAGGATTTTGTAAAAAGCTCCTCATGCATATATCGGCACTGAATCTTAACATTTTTCGATGTTTCTGATTGATTTTTGATAACAAACTCAGCAAGGCACCATTTCAGTCGAGCGTTAAAAATGATCTTCGTCGCACAAACTAAAAAGTTTTCAAAATAATATTAAAAATAGAAACCTTAGTTACTGATTAAGGAATCGCAAGAGAGAAAGGTGTAAAAAGAGTGATTATCTCAAAAAGGTATTACATGATCTGACAATAAAAAAATAAAAAAAATATGCTTGGATTAAGGAAATTCACTCGTATCTAACCTTTTTGACGCATAAGATCAACTGTATATGCAACGTGAATGACTATATATACATATATAACATGACATACTAACAGTACTTGTCAAAGAAGAATTATTTTATTCACTAATTTAATGATCATTCCATAAGCCATGAATGAAGATGAGACTATAGCTACGTAATCACTAAGTTTTTAGCTATTTTAAAAAAAATTTCCAATCAATTTCCAATCAATTAAAAGTTCAAAAATAAAATTATCAGTATCTTACTCTATAAGCTACAAAGGGACTTGAAATTTGAATCAAAGGTTTTTCATACACTCATTCATATCTGTTTGAAGTGTTATCAATATATTGATGTAAATTCTCTTAGCAAATGAACTTCCTTAACAGCTTTTAAGAAAAGCTTCTATGTAAGAATAAGTTTATTGTCTAGATGGCTTCAAAGAGGAAATATTGTAAATTATAAACCTTTTGAAAATGAAAGCAAAAAAGTACGAAAACAAACATAGACAGTTCAAACACGAGTGACCAAAATTACAGTTAAAATTTTCCACTACTTGTTATATTTACGAGACAGCTCTATGCTTTGTAATTTTTTCAATGGCAGTCTAGGGACCGGTTGAGTTCTTTCACTGATAAATGGCGTGAAAATGTCTTAGTTTCTTTTTCTTTGGAAGAAACAGTTTTTTTTTTTTAATTTACAGTTATGTACAATATACAATGTTATCGCGTAATTTAAGTCAGAGCAAGGTTACAATTGGTAAGGCATAGAACTTCAGTTATCTCTATACTCCATTTAAGCAGAATGGTATTCAAACCATAAACGTTAGAACATAAATCAAATTTAGGTCTATGTAATAATTCAAAAAGTATATTTACGTATATTTACGTAAAAGCAGACACATCATAAAGAATTGTTCTTAAAATGAATAAAAGACAAAAAAATATGAATCAAACACTTTAAGCTACAAAATTAAGTCTGATGCTCTTAACATTTTGACAGAAAGAGTAAAATATTTTTTCAGGCTTATTGAATTAAATTTTTCAAAGAGATCCAGACACAAAGCAATTTAATGTTCATGAGTTATTACATTTATTATCAATTATCATAGGATATTTTTATAACTAATGTTAAATGCTACGGTCTATTATATTTATGTATTGTAGATGTGTGTAATGTAAGCGTGATACATTTGAAGTACCACTAGACAAATCCGAGCGCATATCACGAACTTTTCTAATAATTAATAGATTATCGGCAAGCTTACTAGTGTCTACTAATAGTGTATTACTATTTTAATGGAACCAATCAATATGAATCGTTTAATCTCCGCATTACTCAGAGTGGTTAATTTTTTCAAGATACGATACTTGGGAACATATTACTACTGTACCTAATTCAGTAAGTATGTAAACGTATACTATGTTTTAATTTCTACGTGCATACTTATTCCATTAGTCGCCACAAGTAATTTACAGCTTCAGATAACTGAAAATTTGTTGGCTCAAAAATAATGTGATTTAGCGGCAACTTATATTATGTTATGGTAGGTGTTTTTGATAACGAATCATTATTCCAACTTATTAATGAACTGCTATTTTTTATTAACTTTTTGTGTTGAATCGTAGTTAGTCATTAGATGAAAAAATAAAAAAGTATTTATGGAGTAAGATATTTCAGCAACCTTTAATTAAAAAAGGAATCAATATTACTTTTGGGCACAGTTGTGTTATATTTATATAAGTCACTTCTGACCGATATTAAGTGATCTAACTAAAGGCATTAGTTTATCAAAAAAGTTTGTATTAAAAAAATTTTATTTAATAAGAATATTTTGTACCCTTTTTATCCAACTTTTTTGTCTATCAAATTTCAAGACTCTTATGTTGTCAAACTGCAAATTACAGTATTTTTTATTAAAAGTCCAGAAATTTGTTATACTTCATTAACGTAAAAACTTATGATTATCTTCGTCTGAGATACTAGTTTTTTTCTAATATATACAAAAATTTTTAGTGATATTTCTGCTTAAATTTATGATGAATAAAAATCGTTAATACAGAAGTCAAGAGCCTAATATCCAGCCAAAAGAAGATGATAAAATTGCATATGAATTTATTATTGAAACTTAAGGAAACACCCTAAGAACGAGAAATTGGGACTTTTCTGCGTACTTCAATGAACGAAGAATTTTTAGTGTTGTAATCAATTCTTTGTATTACACCCATGAATGATTTCTGACGTTTGTTACTTCTTTGGTTGGACTTATATTCAGAATTATTATCAGTCTGCTTATCTTTGTCATGAGGACTATACTCATCACTGTTACTTGTATTACTGTTACTGCTACTCCAACTACTGCAACTATTTGTATTACTATTTGCTTTTTTAAATTGATAAACAGGAATGATCTTCGGAAGATCATTAGCATGATAGACAGGACTGTCACTAGGCAAACTAAATTGGTAAACAGGACTGTCATTCGTCTGTTCAACTTCATAAATAGAACTAACGCTTGGTGGATTTATTGCATAAATAGAAGTTTCTTTCAATTGATTGCTTTCATTGGCTGCAAAGTCTTTTGTCGTAGGGACGTTAAACTGCAATTGTACTGAATCTTCGATGCTACCATCAATAGATCTTTTTTCAATACGTTCAATGTCATCTTTGCTACTTTCGTCTTGACTATCTACATCAAAGTTCGTTGAAGAATTTTTTTTTGAATTTTTATGACACAAACTTTGCACATCGGCACCTACAGCACAATCAAGCTCATCAGGAAAAGTATACTCTGTTTCAGAAACAGAATGCAATCGCTCCTCAGAATTTTGATACAAATGTTTCATTTCTCCATTTTCAAGCAGCTCAAGAAACTCGGGGTTAAGTAAAGAACTAAGGATAAGAGATCGGTCTTTTGTAGACCACTTTTTCATTTCTTCATCCATTTTCTGTTTTCTAGAACTATTAATCGCCCACAGACATCCTTTTCGTTGATTGCTACCCGTGTCTGCTTTTTCAACTTTTTCAAAACATTTGTTCAAAGAGAGATTGTGTCGAACAGAGTTCTTCCAACCACTAGGAGCTGTTTTGAAGTACGGAAAATGGTCACTGAAACATACAATTATGAATTTTCAGACAAATTTTCAAAAAGATTTATGTAATTCTACTGAAATAATATATTCAACAAAATTATTAGAATACAAATTTCGAATATTTTAATAAAAAATAAAGCTTTACAATCATATCAACTAGATCTTCATTATTTAACAATCATATATGACATAATACCATTTTTTCCATCAATTTCTTAGTTTTATTGGAGAAACAAAATTATACGAATAACCGTAATGAAAATTGTATTTCATTGAATTAACACTACTACTATGTGTATATTAAAACAAAAGTGATAACAAATGCTTTTTAAACAAACTTCAATATTAATACGATTGCTCCGTACACGTATTGTAAACATATTTTTAAATATGTTTTTTATGTTATTTTATTTATAAATGTATGGGCTTGTCCACTGAGAGCGGGCCACCGTGAGCGCATGGGACGTTTTTTGCCCGAACACGCTGTGTTCAGCTCGCTCATAATGGCTGGGAGATAGCTGAAAAAAAGTTAAAAAATACAAATCGACGGATTTAGATCTGTTCTTTCCGATAGAGCTATTTGTTTTTTCTCAAAACCTTTTTTTAGTGGAGAAAAATAAGTTAGAAGTTCACGACGTTTTTCTGAAATTCGCCATGGTAAAAAAAAATTAAATTTGCAGGAAGCGAAAGAGCAATGCTTAAACATTAAGTCCACAAATTGATAAAGTGGGAGAGCAAAAAATGCGTAAATTACAAGAAAATAAAGACGATGGCATGAGAAAGAAATCGTACGGCAGCGAGGTGTGCAGTTGTCACCTGCGCCACGCCGCTACGCGGTGACTTACTGTTATTAACGAGTTTGTTGTATAGTGTCGCAACGCCGCCATGCAACTTTCTCATGCCATCGTCTTTATTTGCTTGTAAATCACCCATTTTTTGCTATCCCATTCAAAAAATATGTGGAGCTAAAATTAAGCATTGCTCTTTTGATTTCTGCAAATTTTATTTTTTTAAACCATGGTGAATTTTAAAGAAACTTCCCGACATTCTGACTCATTTTTTCCAGGAAAAAATTTATTTTAGCCATCTCCCAGCCTTTGTGAGCGAGTTGAATATAGCTTGTTGGGGCGAAAAAAGTCCCACGTGTGCAAGGTGGCCCGTTCTTAGTGGACAAGCCCATGTATACCGAGACTTACTGTTTATAAAATAAAATATTTAAAGAGTTATTCTATGATACGTAGAAGTAGAAAGGTTGAATAAGAGGCATACGGGTTTCTTAAATAGGATAAGTAATGTAAGAAACGAAAGTCTCAGTATATTGTGCTAATTTTTAGACGAATTTTATATCATTAATTTTATTGGCAGAAGAGACAGGAAAGTTCTGTTTTATCGGAGATCGGATAAGGTTCTGTAAGATAACTTCTAAAAATACGCTACATTAATACTTCTATGGTTTCTCTTATTTTAATACTATTTACAACTTGAATTTCTATGTTTATTAGTACTATGCCGTACATTTTTTGTTATAAAATTTTGGTTTAACCAAGAAAAAAGTTTTGTCCACGGCAGAATTGCTGTGTATAGGATGGTATTGTCCGAATTAACCTTCTTATAAAAATGACAAGTCATCAAACATTCAAATTATTTATAGAGTTAGAAAATAGATATGATAATATAATATACTAGGTGATTTTGGAGCATAGCTATTTTTATTGTTTAACAATCAATATTTCGCCATTATTCTAATGGCCTCTTCAGGATTACATATCATGACTTTATTCAATTGTTGCTCTATAATTTGACTCTCTATCTGGGTCTCTCCATCCCACATTGAGAGGCCTTTCTACTTATTTTTAATCACTGACTGCTACGTTGTTTCTTCGTAATATCTCTTTTATAATGTTACAAGTCTTTCACAATGTGTAATTTATAAGAGCGCAGGACAGTCCAAGTGGTTTACTGTCCCAACATTGTCATGGAATGTGACCCTAAAGAAGCCATTAGAATAATGGCGAAAGATTGATTGTGTAACAATAAAAAAAGTTATCCTCCAAAATCACTTAGTATGATATATTATCATGTCTGTAATAATGGCAAAGGAACAAGTGAAAAGGAAGAAGCATTTATTAAAAAGAGTTAGAAAATATTGAAACTGCATTCTTCATATTAGAATTTGAGGATAAAAGTTGTCAAAAATTGATTTAACTATTTGAGATGAAGCCCTTATTTTCCTAATTAAAGTTTTGGTAAAAGTTGATTAAATTTTACAAGATATCTGTAGCAATCATAAGCCATTTGTCATTATACTAATTGTTTTAGGTGCTAATTTATGAAACGTTTTTCTGCCATTAATAAAAATAACAGAAATACAACTATAACAGAAATTTTTACATTTAACGTACAACATAAGAATAAAATTCATGTTTTTTTTACAAGTAAAAATCCGAACAAAATTTTTATTTAGTTGAAGTAAGCAAGTAATATGCTAATGAAAAATATAGCAAAAAAATTTTATTTTATTAATTTTGTCCATTAAAAAAAATTTACTTCACAATGTATCTGCATGTGGAATGAACAATAAACTTTTCTTTGCATTGATAAACAGTTGTTATTGAAAGGATAAACTAAAGATGTCTTAGCATTACATTTATTGTTAAGAACTAAATAAAATTTAATCAATTGATATGGTATCATAAATATTGACGAAATACATAGTATTATAAAATAATTTCAAGTTATTTACATTACTATATGATACATTTCATCACGCTACTTGTATTTTAAGTAAGAGTAGTAGGGGGTTAAAGCGTTTTTTGTTGGCACAGGGGTAGCTGCTGATATTTTTGATAAGATGATTTTCCGCTTTGCTTTTAATTAAGGCAAGTGTTCAAGGTTATTAAAGTTAAGTAAATTGTAAAGATTGTTTTGCGAAAAAATCCTCAATAATCTTTTAAAAAAACGATCTTCTACATTTATAGATAGTTTTTATTATTTTTACGAGACAGAGAATGTGGAATGAAACGTGTAGCTTTCAAATTATATTTGATGAATAATGCACTCTTTGTCATGAATAATTTTTTTTTTGTTTTTGTTCATTGTTTATCATTCTCTTGCTTATAATAGTCTTTAAAAAATGATTTTATTGAATTTTTCTGTGAATTTTTAATTAATATTTATTTTTCACTTCACGGATTCTTGATTCGTCGATTTTAACACTCGCTAAATGTTCTGCGTCGGTTTCTTAACGCCTTAAGTTGCATACATTTGAAACATTTAATGTTTTGCTTCCAATTCACTCTCTTGCGACTATAAGTATTGTTAAAACGTTTGTGAGTCCTCAGGATTTTTTTTTTCTTTGGAGCGAGAAAGAGACAATCTTCATAGACACTCTGGCTACTCTGGTGTTTACCCAGTGTGCAAACCGACTAGAAACTAAGAAACTAATCTCCCCACATAGGACAGGTCTGTTAGGACCACTCTCCTAGAAGATAAAAAGAGCCTAAGAAAAGGAAAATGGAAAATAACGGAAAGTTTCGGAGACAGGCTCGCTTTCAAAGGGATGAGAGGAGGGAACTTAGGCATCTGAGCGGAGCTCGGATATTGGCTTGCGCCGGAATGTAGTTGGAGAAGCTTAAACTTTGGTGTAATTGTGTGTGCGTGTAAAGTGTGAGTTCGCTGTGTAATAAGTGTATGGAGGCGTACTTGTGACTTGTGTAAGTTTTGTATTAAGTATAGGTCGTAAAGGATGTGGTGGACAGATAAGTGCTCTTGAAGGGAGCGTAGGAATTGAAGTCATGGTTATTCGGCGAATCATAGAGATGTATCCGAGGAAAGTATGGGAAAATGAAAACCTATAGTATTCTGGGGATCCTTAGGGTTCTGCTCGAGAGCGCATGAAAGTCTCATAAGGTGGAAGGGCCCAGGTTGGATGTTCGCGAGTGCGGCGATGGTGGGGTTTGGGTGATCTGTAATGGAGAAGCGAATTTAAGACGCAAGGACAGGGGCTGCTCGAGTTGGAGGAGATATTAAACACCTTGATAATCTGAGAACTCCTAAAGTACCATGGCATACCCAGGATCAATCTCAGTGTCTCCATGAAAAGGCGTTAGATGTCCTTTAGTCGGTTTCCCTTTGCAGCGCCTCACGTTGGAATCGCTTAGGTGCTGATGCTCTTGATGATAACGTTGAAGGTGCGCAGCTTGATCTTTTGTGAGACTGTTTTCTAGAAGATGAGCATAGCTACAGTCTTTGAGGTGCAGTTGACCGTGACGCCACGTCGCACAGTGGGCTAAACAGCCCAAAAAATGCTCAAAATTCGTGCTTCCAATGGGTATTCACTCAAATCAAACAATTTTGGGCTTATTTTATTCGTGAGATGATATCCTCCAATGATCCGAGTCCCTCAGACGTGTAAAGACTTCTTATATATATGTTTTTTAGGTATATCTAGAGCAAATTTTGATAGTTCAAATACTCTGGATATATTAAACGTTGTTAAAGTAGACCGATATGTACAAATATGGGTATACAGAGGTTTTTTGATTCGCTGATCACGAATCTGATGTCAGAATGGCCAATTTCAATATGGCGGATCCAAGATGGCGTCCAAAATCATAAAAAATCAACCGATTTGTACCAAATTTGGTATTCAGGGGTTTTTCGGGTCACTGATCACGAATTCGGGGTCAAGTTAGCCAAATTCAAGATGGTGGATCCAAGATGGCGGCAAAATTTATCAAAAATCATCCGATTTGTGTCAAGTTTGGTTTACAAGGTGATTATGGATCGCTGATTACGAATCCGTGGTCCAATTAGCCAAGTTCGAAACGTTGGATCCAAGATGGGGGCGAATTTCATGAAAAATCAACCAATTTGTACAAATTGCAGTAAGATTCCATTCACTTTATTCCAGAAAGCCCAAGAACGGCTAAAATTCCTATTTTTTACGAATTCTCACTCCATCCACCTAATTTTGGGCTTATTTTGTTCCTTAGATAATAGACTACAAGGATCGGG